GGGTGTATGCTGGGCAGGAGGGCTTGGGCATGGGGGGAAACAGGCATTTGCACTTTGGAGAAATGGGAGGAGGTGGTGGTGGTGGCAGTTCCCTGCTTGGGCTCAGCTCTGCTGGAGCAGGGAGGAAAGAAGCTTTAAAGCACAACACAGGGTTGGGGACAGCTTGCAGAGGTGTACTCAGGGCCGCAGCTGGGGAACAATGCTGCCTGCAGCCCTGGTGCTGATGGCAGTGCAGCTCTGGCCCCTCTGCCTCCAAACGAGCTCTGATTACTTTGCTTGTTGTCGTTTGCCAGATCAATGAGCCATGGAGCAGAGATCGATGGAAGCACGTGGGCTGATGGCACTGTGCCGTGCTGTGCTCCCATCCCCATCCTGGGGGGGATCTGGGGATCCCATCCTCCTGGCTCTGGGGACCGCTCTGGACCCCTCCAGGATGGGGCTGTGCAGGGTGACCCAAAGTGCTTCGGGACATTTAGGGACACTGGGTGCTCTATGGGGACAGGCACCTTTGTTTTGGCTCATTAGAAAGCAGCGTGCAGGGAGGGTTGGGAGGAGGGCAGGAGCGCAGGCTCCAATCAATCAATTAATTAATTAATGGAGCGTGCTGGAGGTGCGGCGGCAGAGCTACTTTAATGAGGGATGGAAAATGTGCAGCAGCTCAGTGGGAATACACGTGGACAGGGGAGGACACAGTCCTGTCCCCTACTGTCCCCTGTCTCCCTTGCTGCTGAAGGTACCTGGTGCTGCTCAGGTGCTGCATTGAGGATCCACCACCCGTTGCCCATGACTATGGGGGCCACTCCAGTGTGCCCAGCATCCCATGTGGCCACCACCAAACTTGGTGGCATCTTGCTGCCATCACCACCATGTGCTTGTGCCATGTATTCCATGCCATGGCCTCACACCCTCCCTGCAGGAGTCTGGGACTTGGCATGGCACGTCCCCAGGATGTCACCTAGTGCCTGTCCCGCTGTGACAGCTCCCTGGTGGCTCTCAGGAGGTGCGTGTTGGGGACGTGCTGCCCGCCCTGGTTCTGGCCGCTGCATTCAGGCAGCGCTGGGGCTCCACAATGTGAGGCAATTAGCATGGAAAATGTATGCAAAGCAGCTGTTCCCTGTGCGAGGCGTGTGCAGCTGGAGGCCGGCTCCAGATTGGGAGCAGAGGCAGTGAAAGGAGAGGAAGTATCGCTGCAGCCGGGGTTAAGAGGCAGAGCAGGAGAACAAAAGCCAAAGCGGGCGGCGGGGGCCTTAACCCCTTCACTGGCCTCAGCTGGGGCTCCCCACAGCCTCCCCATCCCTGCATCCTCATTGGGATTCAGCTGGCACCCACAGGGACCTCTTTGCCTGTGGCACCTGCTGGTGCCCGATGACGTCCCATGGTGGCCCTGGTGACATCCGACGGTGGTTCTGGGGGCTTCCCATTGTGGCTCTGGTGATGTCCCATGATGGCCCTGATGATATTTCCAGGTGGTCCTGGTGACATCTGATAGTGGCCCTGGTGGCCTCCTGTGGTGGCTCGTGCCATGGGGCACTGTCCTCAACTGCTCAGCTCCCCTCTAAACATTGGGCTCAGCCTGATGGAGTTCACAGATGCGAGTCCCAGGGCTGTGGATGAGGTTGGTCCCTGGGGAGGATGCTCATCTCCTCTCTTGTACAGCTTTCTGCTGTGCTGTTGGGTGTTGTGTTTTTTTTTTTTTTTTTTTCCTGCTCCATTTACCAGGGGCTGGAGATGCTGCCTGATCGTATTTGGTAATAAATTATTAGTTCCAGTGCTTGTGCACCCGTGAGCTCAAAATAGCTGCTTTTAAGCAGGCGGCTGGTGCAGGTTGAGTTCAATGGCAATCTGCTCTGAAGGGTACTTCATGCTCATTAGGGGCCTTTCAAGGTGCCTGTGCATTACTGGCAGAGGGGGACAAAGCAGAGGTGCTGAACCTGCCAGCACAGCGCTTCCCAGCAGCCTCCTGCAAGGGGGATGGGGACAAGAGGGATGATGCAGTGACACTGAGCCCCCAGATTGTCCTGCAGAGCCCCACTGTCAGTGCTCCCTATCCTCCTGCTGCAGCCACCCTGTTATCCCTGAGTCCTTTGGTGTCTCTGCTCGTGAGGTGGCACCTGGCTGAGGTGGCATTGGGATGCAGCAGGAGACAAGGGGACAGGCTGGGAGCAGGGAGATGGAGACAGGGTGGGAAAGACAATGCTGCAGGAGTGGGGTGAGCACCAGCGTGTGCCCTGTGGGTCCCCATCCCTGCAGTGACACCGGCGTTCCAGCAGCTGCCTCCTGTGCTGCAGCCAGCTGCCTGCTGCCTTCTAGCGGCTGCTGCCACGTGTGTCACCTCTGCCCTGCGTGTCCCTGCTTCCACGCATGCCACCCCTACCAGCACTGCCAACTCCTGCCCAACCATGGTTTTGCAGTGAGTATCCCTGGGCTGTTGGGTTTGGGGGGCATTTTAAACACACCCCTTTGTCACCAACACCGAGAGCGCGTGTGCCCTGTCCTCTCTGCCGTTGTGTTGGTTTGGCTGCAGCTGCACGCTCAGCCAGACTGGTTCTGCTCCTGCTGCTGGAGCAGCTCCTGCTGCCAAAAACCCGCCGGCGTCAGCAGGAGCAGGTGGAGGAGGGTGGCACGCGCCCAGCCCCGAGGTGTGGGGTGACCCTTGTGTGGGCACAGTGGATGGTGATGGCCTCGGCCACCCCGTGCTGCGTGTCCCTGTGGTCCCCATGGGGGAGGAGAGCCGTGGAGCTCCATGCCTGGAGGCAGCACGTGGGTATCTCTTCCTGCACCCCAAGAATGGTGGCAGTGCTGTGGTGACTGCCCCATTCGTGGGTTCCCATGAGTGCACCAGCAAGAGTGCATGGGTGTGCACAGCCCCGTTGCAAAGCAGGAGGTTTCCAGGGAGCAGCGGTGCTTGCATGTAAAAGGGGAGGGGGGGGCTGCCCAAAAAAATCCACCCGCGCCATCAGGTTGTAATTAGAGAGCGCGGAGGTGGCAGGGCCAGGTCTGGTGTCTGCGAGGAGCCAGGGATGAAAGGGAGGAGTAATTACAGAGCCCGCGGGAGGCAGGAGAAGCGCTGATTAGCACAGCATCGCCAGGCTTTTATTGGGGCTGGGGGGGGGCCGTGTGGGGGCCACCAGGCAGTGAGGAGCTGCGTGGGGTGCTCAGCCCTATAGGGCAGGGCTGCAGGGCTGAACGCTGCACCCGGTGCCCCATAATTAAGGGGGGGAACCCCAATCTCACCGGGGGTCTGTGGGTTGGTGCAAAGCTTAGGGTGTGCCCCCTCTTTCCCCCCTCCCCCCCACCCCAACACCCTGTGCTGGGTTTGATTCCCAGCTGTTCACGTAATGAATTTACATGAGCCTGTCGTGTCGACAAGGCGGCAGTCAATGGCTGAGAGCAGCGGAGTTAATAAATGCTTGGATAATGAGGGCAGAGGGGAGCGCGCGGCCGCCTCTCACGGGGCCGGGGGGGGGGCAAAGATTAATCCATGCTGAGTGGCACCCGCCGCCCCCCCATCCAGCCCTGTGCCCTCCCCTGCTCTGCCGTGGCTGCCCCTCGCCCTCCAGCTGGCACAGGAGCCATTTGGGGTGACTTGTGCCAAAGTGGCCACCGTGCGGTGCGATGGGACCCCTGACCGTGTGCCCCCACCTCCCCCCCAGATCTGCCCACCAGGGAGCAGGGCTAATTTTAGCCCGGTGTTAATGATTCTGCTCATTTAGAAATCTATTTTAAGGGTCCTGACATCAGCAGTTGCTGTTTTTGGAGGTGGAGAGCCCTGGAGCGCGTGGCTGGGACAGCCAGGGAGGGGGGGATGGGCACCCCGATGGGGTGTGGGGTGCACTGTGTCATGCCCATATCCAAACCATCCCCCCTTCCCCAGGTCCTATAGAGCTGTCGTGCTTTTGGGTGCAATTTGGAGACCTGGGGGGTGCAATGAGGAGGATTTGAGGGTGTGCTTTTGGAGATGGGGGTGTACAGTGGGGGTGCCTTGTGGTTGCAGTAGTGAAGATTTGAAGGTGCTGTAGTGGGGATTTGGGTGTGAAGTGGTGCGTAATGGTGCTGGGGATTTGGGGTCGCAGTGGTGGAGAGTTGGGGTTGCAAGGGTAAGGATTGGGATGTGCCATGGAGAGTAGGGAGGGGGGCTTTGGGGGTATGTGGGGAGCCGTGGTGGAGGTTTGTAAATGTGGTAGCAGGGATTTGGGTGTGAAGTGGTGCCCACTATGGGGTGGTATTTTGGGGAGCAGTGATGGGGGTTTGTAATTGCATTGGTAGGGATCCAGGCATATATGTGGGGGTACCCTGGTGAAGATGTGAAGATGCAATTGTGAGGATTTGAGTATAAAATGGTGCTGACTGGAGATGTGATGGTGTGGATTTGGGGGTGTAGTGGTGACGATTTGGAGATGCATAAGCAGTACTGTGGGGTTACAGTGCTAACAACCTGGGGGTGCACTCCAAGGGATTGGAGACTGCAGCGGTGGGGTTTTGGGGTTGCAATGGTTGCAGCATGGGATGCAGCAGCACTGTTTTAACAGGGGGGCTGCCTCGTGATGCCCACGCTCCTGCATCCCCCCTAGCATCCCTCCCTCATGCTGAGCCCCCCCGTTCCATTATCAGCACGGGCATGGCGTGCCGGATCAGTGGGGCCATGTGACGCCGGCGGCAGCTGGTGGCCCCGTGGCAGCTTGTTTGCTGCAGGCGAGCAGCCCGGGTGCGCTCGCTTTGTTCCATAAGCTGCAGCCCCGCCGCCACGAGCTGCTTACTGTGAGCACATGGGGGGCTCCGGGGGGGTCCGCGCCCCACTGGGGGCTCCTCACTATTACATGAGCTTGGAGGGAGGGGAAGAGGGGTTTAATGGGGGTGAAGGGGAAGTTTTTCTGCTTCTGGATGGGAGGTCTTGGGGCCAAACTGGGGATGGGGGGGAAGGAGGGGCTGCGCAGCCCGGTGCTGTGCCCACCCCGTGCCAACCCATCAGTGCTGCTGACCTGTGCTGCTCTCGTTTGCAGGCATGAGCCATGAGTCGAAGTCGCCTTCCTTAGGAATGCTCTCCACCGCCACTCGCACCACCGCCACCGTCAGCCCCCTGACCCCCTCCCCTCTCAACGGCTCCATCGTCCCCAATGGCAGCCCGGCGGCCAGCAGCACTCTGTCCGTCCAGGCAGCGCCGTCCTCCAGCTTTGCAGCCGCCCTGCGCAAGCTCGCCAAGCAAGCTGAGGAACCCAGAGGTACGTATGGGGCTGGGTGGGATGGGAACAGTGAGAAATAACCCTTGGGTTGCCCCAGGATGCAGCACCACCACCTCTGTGTCCCCGTGGCACCGCGGGTGCCCCGAGCCGCAGGATGGTGTTTTCTCACTGATGTCTTTTCTCAACGCCGTGTCTCGAGGGGGCAGTTTAGAAATTCAATTCAGCTGGAGTAATCCAAATGCCATATCATTCGCTGTACCCCGAGAGAAAGTCTGGTGAGAGCGCAGCACGGAGCTTGTCCTCGCCCCCTCCCTCCCCTTCTCCCTCCCCTCTGTGAATCTCATTTTTCCGGAGGCTCCTTGGATGTGTTCTTTCTGCAGCCCTGCTACATAACAAACCCATGCTGCAGCCCAGTGCTTTAACCGGGAGCCCTGCAGCGTGGCATAGAGCAGGGAGGGATGTGTGGTGCCCAGGGATGCAGGGTACCCCCATCCCCTGCCACCCCACAGCACCCCTCTCCTCTGCCATCCTGCCCTGGTGCTGCTATGGAGCAGGGCTGCAGCTTTCAAGGGGAGAGTATGTGGGGTTTCAGAGCTGCTTTGCAAACACAAAGTGTTTGTCCCTGATATTTGCCCCACTGGGTGCTCCTTATCATAACCCAGACCCTTGGCAAGAACCTTTTCACAAACACTATTTGCAAGACCCATGGCACAGCGCAGCACAGGCAGCTCAACCCATCCAAAGCAATATTTTTTGCTCAGTTCCTTGGGGTTTCCTTTGCCAGCTTGCCCTCTCCTCCCTCCTGCAGTGCTCTCCCCGTGTGCAGCCTTACCCAAATTCCTGCCCCAGCAGTGCTGTCTCATGCTGAGCCGCCGCAATCCCTTCGGATTTCCCCTCCCTTTGCTGGGCTGTGTGTAACTGCTGCACAGTTTGCTCACAGAAGCCATCCTCCTCCCCTCTCTGGGTGCCTGAGTACCTCATCCCAGGGGTTCCCATACACGTGGGCTGCAGTGCAGTGCTGGGCGTTGCTCCATGGTGTTCTTTACCTCCTGGAAAGCCAATCCTCATCCCATTTCCCTTCCCACAGGGCTGGGACAATGCTTGGCCATGGCACACTGTGGGTGGGGTGATGTCTTCAGAGGGCTTTTCTCTGTGGTGGACCAGAGGTGCTTTGCATGCACGGATCAGCCCTGCAGCACGTGGCTCTTCTATGTGTAGCGACACAGGGATGCATAGAGATGCACAGGGACATGCTTCCATCCCAAACAGGTCTCTCTGTGGAAGGGGCCGTGGATGGGGTCCTGCAGCACATCCCTCGTTGCTTCAGGGCTGAGTTCATCCCCATAGGATGGAGCAAGTCACAAAGAACCCCAAAGCTCAGGGGCTGGCCGGGGCATCCAGGCTCACCCCTGCACAACTCTGCCTGCAGGGTAGATTTTTTTTTCCCCTTTGCTTTCTTCTTTTCCCTCCTCCTTCAGGGTCTCAGCTGTTAATTACATTTGCCTGTCAGCCCCAGCTGCTAATCTGCTATCGCTGAGCGGAAAGCAGGAGGTCAGAAAACAAAGGTGACACCATCACACTGTGCCTCTTGTCATCTCCAATCCAGATTAGTTTCATTGACTAACTCCTGGCTGAATACCGCCAGTTAATTATAACGATCACAAACCCTCCCGTTTAAAGCCACACAGTGAGAATTAAGGTTCTGAAGTAAGACTTTAGCTTCATTAATTGCCGGGCTCATTGTGATGGTATTGATTGTTAACGCTATCGCATGGTGAGTAATGGCTTCCCAGCTCAGAGGGGATTAGGCTGTTAATTGTTGTTGGCCTTGCGCTGACAAGATAGACTTCAGTGGGTGTCAAATCCGTATCGGTGCCTCCTTTGTGGCGGGCAGCCTTTCTCTCCCCCAGCCTCACCGCTCTTGAAATGAAAGCGATTCGCAGCAACTCGGGAATAATTAATAAGGTGGTGTGGCCAAAGTGCTGCTGCGCTCATCCCGCTGCCCTGCTGAGCATCCTTTGGGATGCAGCTGGGACATCCCTGCTGCCTGCGCATCCCGGTGCTGGGCTGCGTGTGCTGAGGGCGTTTGGAAGTGGAGGCGGGGGGGTTGGGAATGTGTGCAGGGTGAGGAGCTGCACTGCGTGTTCAGGGCAGCCAGCTTGTGTGCTTGCAGGGCCAGCAGACAGTTTGCACACCCAAGGGAGGTGGCTGGCGCATGCAAGCCTACAGCATCCATGCCTGGCCGGGCAGAGCTGTCACCTCACAGGCAGCCTCACCGTGGTGGCTTTGGGCACCCCGGGCTCTGGTCAGTGGCCAGTTTGGTGCGTTTTGGCTCCTGCACCCGGAGCTGATCCTCGCCTGGGGATTTGTGTGCAGGCAATTTGCAGCCGAGCACATGCTGGGCTCCGCCTGCCCCAGTTAGCGTGGAATTTGTATTGCTGCTCCAGCTCTGCTTTTCTCCACGCGTTGCACTCTCCGCCTTAATTCCATTTCAGAGGGTTTTATTTTTCCCTTGCAAATACTGCCAGCATCCCTGGGGTGGGTATAATTTCAAATACGGATGTATTATGCAAATTGAGCCAAAGCTTTGCCCAAGGGTTACCAGGAGCTGCTCACGCATCCTCACACCGGCGTCTGGGAGCAGCCTTGGCTGGCACTGCTTGGCACCAGAGCATGGGCTCAGCCCTGGGGGTGATGCTCACTCTTGGCCTTTGGGATCTGAGCTGGGTTTATGGGGGCAGTGAGCTGGGTTTCACCTTCCCTCTCCCTGTGGCTCAGCTGGGTTTGCAGAGGGATGGAAATGAGCTCCTGTATACAAGCTGAGCCCTGTAACGACAGAGGATGGGTCTCCATGGGCATAGGGATGGCTTCACCTGCTGCTGCCCCCCAGGCCTGCGGAAGGGGAGATGGTTGGCCCCTCTAACAGCTGCCTCCCTCCTGTTGTGTTTGTTTCCCAGGCTCCTCGATAAGCAGCGAGTCGTCGCCCGTCTCCTCACCAGCCACCAACCACAGCTCACCTGCCAGCACGCCCAAACGTGGCCCCATGGGCCCCATCATTGTGCCCCCTGGGGGGCACAGCGTGCCCAGCACACCGCCTGTCGTCACCATCGCCCCCACCAAGACGGTCAACGGGGTGTGGAGGAGCGAGGGCAGGCAGGTAAGGATGGGGAGCCCATCCCCAAAAGGGACACCGAGGCACTGAGCAGAGGGTGTGCCACTGCCGTGCGCTGTGCTGATAGTGTGAGGGCCGTTTGCTTGTGCCAACCATGATAAAAGTGCTGGGAGCTGCTCCCCATTGTGGTGCCACCCTGCACTGTGCTCCTTTTGTCCCCTCTGCCATGTCCCCAGGCTGCCATCCGGAGAGAAGTGGGGAGGTGGTGGAGGGTGGGGGGGGGACGACGCGCCGGCTAATTAAGAAGCATCGTTAGTTCTTCTCCTCTCCTCTCGCATGTTGCAAGCAGATTCCCGGGGGGATTATGCCACTTGGAAGGACTAATTAAACCACAAAGCGGAGAGGCGAGGGGAAGGGATGAGAAATACTGGATGCGGGGAGGAACAAAACCAAAGCCCTGGGTACATGGAGGGGTTCAGGGTACCCGGGTGCTGCCCACCCCACCAAGCCCCCCTGCATGCCGTCCTGCTGCTCCTCAGTGACCCCAGTGGAATATAGGTTAACCGAGCGTGCTTTATTGTCTGGCAGAGCTGTGCTTGCAGCGTGACGCCCGGAGCTGGGGGAGGTAATTAGAGCGCAGCCTCACATGCACTGTGCTCAGCACAGGCTGCGGGGGGGACGGCCTTTGTGCCGCCTGCGGTGACCTTGGGACCGTCCCCGATGGCTGGCTGGGGTCCTGCAGCCTGCCCTGGGGTCCTGCAGCCTGCACTGCCATTCCTTTGATTGGAGGAATAGTCTGGTTCCTGCTGCTAGGGCTCATCCCTCCATCGCTGGCTCAGCCCCTGTAATGGGGACGGTGCTGCCAGGTGACCCCAGGGTGCCCCCCGAGCTGAGGTCAGTGCGTGTGACCTTCATCCTGGATGGGAATTCACCGCCTGACTGATGAGGCAGTGGGATGGGGTGCTGCCATTGGCTCCCCCCGGGGCTGGCCCTGCGTTTTATGGCTGCTATCAAAGGGCCTCTGCCGGATTTACACCGGCTGTGCTGCTCCGGGCGCCGTTGGTGTCTGCATCCTCCGAGTGATTAATGGCTCTGGAGAACAAAGCTGCCTGTAAATCTGCAGGCAGGTACAGCGTGTCCTGCTGTCAGCCCATCCCCAGCGTCAGCACCCCCTCTCCAGCTGGGTGACCCCCATGCAGCCCCTAAGCCCCATCCTTTAATGGATACAGGGATGCTTTCCACCATCCCCTAACGGCCAGCTCTTCTTTTCTGCCCCTCTGCCTTCCAGCAAGAAGCAGGGTCACGAGGCAGCAGCAGCAGCAGCCGTGAGCGGCTCATCTCTGAGCCCCCTCTGACACAGGAGAAAGCAGGGGGTCCCACAGTCCCAACGCATCTCCTGGGCACTCCATACTCCTTTGGGCTGCCCCCCAGCTCTGTGGTCCAGGACTCCCGCTTCCCACCTCTCAAGTGAGTCGGTGTCATGGGGAGATGTGGAATGTGGGATGGTGCAGGGATGTGGGGTGTGGGATGCAGGGATGATGCCGGGTGTGGGATTTGGGATGGTGTGGGACGATACGGGATGCAGGGTGTGGGATGTGGGATAGGGGATGTAAGATATGGTATATGTTGTGTGGGGTGCAGGATGGGTGCAGGATGCAAGATGGTGTGGGATATGGGAAGATGCAGAACGCGGGTGCCTCTCAAGTAGAGGTGGCATCACCCTGATGCTCACTGTCCCCTTTTCCCACCAGCCTGCAGCGTCCCGTGCACCACGTGGTGCCACCCAGTGCTGTCACCGAGGATTACCTGCGCAGCTTTCGGCCCTACCACACAGCTGAGGACCTCCGCATGTCCTCACTGCCACCTCTTGGCTTGGACCCAGCTGCGGCTGCTGCATATTACCACCCCAGCTACCTGACACACCACCCCTTCCCTCACCCTGCCTTCAGGTGGGCACTCACCCTTACCAGCAGGGATGCTGCTGGGAGGCGGGAGGATGACCCCAAGGGTTGTGCTGCAAGCTGCAACAACCCTCCAGGATAAAATTTCTCCCTTTTTGGGGTTTTACACCCTGCTGAGCACCCCTGTCTCCCCAGGATGGACGACTCCTACTGCCTCTCAGCACTGCGGTCCCCCTTCTACCCATTGCCGGCCCCAGGCTCGCTGCCCCCCCTGCACCCCTCTGCCATGCACCTGCACCTGTCAGGTGTGAGGTACCCTGCTGAGCTCTCGCACTCCTCACTCTCCGCACTGCAATCGGAGCGCATCTCCAGCCTGGCTGCTGAGAGGTGAGTGGTTATGGGGTGGCTGCTGCGGGGTGGAGATGGAGGGGGTCTGTGGGAGGCTAACGGGCACCTGATGGGGGTGTTTTCCTTTGGTTCTCTTTTTGCAGGTTGCAAATAGATGAGGAGCTGCGGCAGAGGGAAAGGGAACGCGAGAGGGAACGGGAGAAGGAGCGGGAGAGGGAAGCAGACCGGGAGAGGGAGAAGGAGCGAGAACGGGAGCGTGAGAAGGAGCTGGAGAGGGAGCGTGAGAAGGAACGCGAGCGGGAGCTGGAGAGGCAGCGGGAGCGTGCCCGGGAGAAGGAGCTGAGCATGGTGAAAGCCATGGAGAGCCCCTTCCTGCCTGTGGCTGAGCTGCATGCCCTGCGGGGGCACCCGGCTGAGGAGCGCGGCAAGCTGCCGGAGCCCGGCAGAGCAGGTAACAACCCTGTGGGTGGCATCGGGGCTGGTCCCCATTCCTCTCCAGATGGTAAAGCTGAGGGGGGTTGAGTCCCAGAGCCCAACTCTCTGGTTGCCAGCTTGCAGTGCCAGGAGCCCAGCTGCTGCTGTGCGCTCAGCGGGGCTGCTGCGGAGCGCCGGGACTCTTGGAGAGGTGTTTGTGCCATTTGACTTCACCCCGGCACGCCAAGCAGCTGGGCTGGCAGCAGGCAGGGGAGCAGGAGCTGCAGGCTGCCATCCCACGGGGATGCTGTGCAGCCCTCTTCCATGCACAGGTAGGGTTCAGCATGCACCCTGCCAACCCTCTGTCTCCTCTTTTTTTGTTCCCCAGAGAAACTGAAGGATTCAGTGCTGCCCACGCCGAAGCCCCTCCAGCACCCGCTGCACCCACCACCCACCTCACACCACCCCGTGCCCAGCCTCATCCCCAACCACAACGTCTTCCCCCTGCCCGGCAGCAGCGCGGCCACGGCGTTGCTCATCCACCGCACCAACGAGGAGGAGAAATGGCTGGCCCGGCAGCGCCGCCTGCGCCAGGAGAAGGAGGACCGCCAGTCCCAGGTGTCAGAATTCCGCCAGCAGGTGCTGGAGCAGCACCTCGACATGGGGCGCACCCCGAGCCAGCCTGAGCCCGAGCACCGGCCTGACAACCCCAGGTAGGGCTGCACGCCCCGGGTGGCTTTTGCCTCTCTGCCAGGATGAAGGATGCCCCTTTCCATGCTCCCTGTGCCAATCTTCCTGAAGGTTTTATATGATTTTTTCCCATCTTGCTGCCATTTTTGCCACCCTGTGAGCTGGCTCTGAGCAGGATGAGCCCCCCCCCCCCCCCCCCCCCCCCCCCCCCCCCCCCCCCCCCCCCCTCCTCCCTCCCCCAAACTCAGCCTTCATGCTTTCCTCCTGCACCAGGCGAGCGGTGCGTCCGGTGCCAGCAGGTCCCTGCCGTGCTGTGCCAGCCAGGCCGGCTGTGCTGGCAGCACTGTGTGGTGCCACTGCCTGACATCTGCGCGGCAGCAGGCGGTGAGCCCGGGAGGTGGCCGAGGGCCAGCAGTGAGCAGCCAGGTGCTGCCGAGGCGACGGCACCGCTAATTGCAGCTTCCCCTGTACAGCCTGAAAGCTGCTCTGATAGAGGGATGCGCAGTGGGATGAGGGGGGCACCCGGTGCCCACAGCCCTGCATTGACGCGGGTTTTCTCGCTCTGTTGCCGAGCGCTCTGGTGGTGTGGGCTTATCCAGTCGGCTCTGCTGCCGGCTCCCATTGTTATTTTTGGATATCAAGGGGATTAGTGCAGCTAATCGAGTATAACAAGGAGCGGATTGCGGGGCGGCACAATGGCAAGTGCCTGCTGCAGCCGCCCACCCCCATCCGTGCATCCCTCCCCAGAGCAGGGAGGAGACATCAAGGTCACCCTGAGTACAGCAGCAAGTGGGGGGGGAGGAGGGGGGTGTTCTTACAGCCTCGTCTCCCTCCTATCCCATTTCCATCTTCATCTCATCCCTATCCTCACCTCATTCCTATTCCTATCCCAGTCCCTCACGCAGCATCCTGCCCATGCCTGTGCCCCATGTAAGTGCCACCAAAGACCCCCCAGATGGTGGGGAGGGACAGGGACCCCACTCTCCACTGGGGCAGGTGATGCCCTCAGCCAGCAGCGCTGGTGCCTGCAGGAGCTCTCCATGGCACAGTGGCAGCTGCGACCCGGCTGGCAGCACTGAGCCCTCACTGCTCTGCTGCACAGAGGTCTGGAGCGCTCGAGTGGAAAAGCGTTAAACGCTCCTCTCCGGCACATGAAATATTTATCCTGCTAACAGGTTTGCTCCTTCCCTGGGTGTTTAGGGAAGGTTTCACTGCAGCGTCACTCTTTGTGTGGTGAGCGCCTGTGCCATCCCAGTCCCGTGGAGGGGTCCCCTGTCCTGTGTCCCATTCCCAACCCTCCCCACGTGCACCTAACAGACCATTTCTCCCCACATCCAGCTTACAGACAGGGTTTGCTTCTCCTCTCCATCCCTCCCTCTTCTCTCTTTCCTGCAGGTCAGGACCAAGCCGCCACGAGCCGAGCATCCGTGAGCCAGGGCAGCACTTTGGTGGTCCGCCGCCACTCATCTCCCCCAAGCCCCAGCACCACCCCATCACCACGTCCCTCTGGAACCCTGTCTCCCTGATGGAGAGCCCCTCAGAGCCCCCCCGGCGCCTCCCTGAGCCTCACGTCCTCCACGGCCACCCGGCCCCCTTTGAGCCCAGCCGGCAGGGCATCCCACTGGTGAAGGTTGAGAGAGTCTTCTGCCCCGAGAAGCTGGAAGACAGTGCAAGGAAAAGGGATGCTCTGGAGAAATACCCCCTGCCACGAGAGCCCAGCACTGCGGAGCACACAGGCTTCACCCACACACCATTCCTAGCCGAGCTGGAGAAATCCACGCAAAGCATCCTGAGCCAGCAGAGACCCCCAGCCACCCCTTTTGGGGAGGTGACCAAGCCCAGCTCGCCCTACAGACCCCCCCAGCCCCGTGCACAGGACCCCATGTACATCTATGATGAGTTTGTGCAGCAGCACCGCAGGCTGGTCAGCAAGCTGGACCTGGAGGAGCGCCGGCGACGGGAGGCCAGGGAGAAAGGTGAGGAGGGGGCTTGGAACCCCCAAGGCACCAGGACCCCAATGGGGGCAGCCAGGAGGGGGTTCCCCTGTGATGCCGTCAGCCCAGCCCGCAGGCATTTGATGCAAATGCTCCCGAAAGCCAAATCAGAGCAGCTTGGTAAATCCTCTGCTCTAGACATGCCCAATTAATAAATGATGAACTGAGGCTAATAAGCTGGCTTTAAATATTAATAGGGTCGTGCGAGCAGGGATGTGAACAGCAGCGATGAGATGGAGCGGGGTGTGGGGGCAGCACTGCCATCCCCCCTTGTGCCCCATTGACCTGCTGAGCCTGGTGCCCCCCATCAAGGCAGATAGTGTGTCCCCAGTGTCCCTGGCCCTGGCACGAGGTGCTCCTGGGTGTTTCCCTCCCTGGTGCCCCAGCAGCAGCAAGGGGAGAGTCAGCCCTCTCACTGCAGGCGGCCCACAGAGACGTAATTCCTCCAGTCCCCCTGCAAGCCATCCCAAAACAGAGCTGAGCTGGGATGCTGCGGTGAGCATCCCTACCCAGCAGGATTCCAGCCATTCCTGGGGTCCCAGCAGGTTCCCACGGCCCCAGCAGTATATGGGGGGGTCCCAGCATGCCCCCCCAGGCTGATTATCAGCCTCTCCCCATCCCCAGGTTACTACTATGACCTGGATGACTCCTGTGATGACAGTGATGAGGAGGAGGTGCGGGCACATCTCCGGTGCGTGGCTGAACAGCCCCCGCTGAAGCTGGACACATCCTCTGAGGTATGGGCACAGCACTCAGCTGGCTGTGGGGCTGAGTTGGGATTGGGGATGGGGATAGGATGGTGATGGGGATGGGGTTGAGGATGGTGATGGGATGGAGATAGAGATGAGGTTGACGGTGGAGATGGGGATGGCCATGGGGGTGGAGATGGGAATGAAGATGGACATGGAGACGGGGGTGGGAGGTGAAGGGTGGGGATGGAGACAGCTGCTGTGCTGCTTTGGGGCTGACCCAGCTCTGTTCTCCCCTCGGGCCCCAGAAGCTGGAGTTCCTGCAGCTCTTCGGCCTCACCACGCAGCAGCAGAAGGAGGAATTACTGAGCCAGAAGCGGCGCAAGCGCCGGCGGATGCTGCGGGAGCGCAGCCCCTCACCACCCACGGTGCAGAACAAGCGCCGCACGCCCTCCCCACGCCTCCCCCTCTCCACCCGCTACAGCCCCGACGAGATGAACAACAGCCCCAACTTCGAGGAGAAGAAACGCTTCCTCACCATCTTCAACCTCACGCACATCAGCGCTGAAAAGAGGAAAGGTAACACCATGCCCCGTGCTGGGGTGGGGGTCCCTGTCCCCATGCCGCGGGGCTGCCTGGTGCCGCGAGCGTGCCCCGCTGAGCAGAGGCTACACTAAACCTCAGCTTCCCATGCGGCAGACAAGGAGAAGCTGGTGGAGATGCTGCAGGCCATGAAGCAGAAGCCCACGCCGGCTGCTGTGGTGGTGAAGAGCTCTCCACGGGACAGCCCCAGCGGACCTGCTGCCGGTAAGCTCCTCCACTCCTCCTTCCCCCTCACTTGCTGTGCCCGATCGGGCGCTGCTGTGCCAACACTGCTCCTCCTCTGCCCCAAGAGCCACCTCTGCTGCTGGACTCGGATAAGCCTGTTGGCATCATTGCCTCAGTGCCCGAGGTGCAGAAGCCATCAGAGCCGGGCAGAGTGGAGCCTTTGAGAACTGCAGAGCTGCCCAGGGTGAAGGAGCCAGCTGAGAAGCCTCGGCTGAGCGATGGGCACTCGGGGAAGAAGGCACTGAGCATCCTCAGCTACGTCAGGGGCCCTCTGCCCAAGGACATCCCTGTGCCACTGTCCCACAGCATGAATGGTAAAAGCAAGCCTTGGGAGCCCTTCATTGCTGAGGAGTTTGCCCACCAGTTCCACGAGTCCGTGCTGCAGTCTACGCAGAAGGCGTTGCAAAAGCACAAAGGTACCACACTGGGGCAGCAACCCCATGGGGGCACAGGCAGGAGAGCCGTGGGTTGGCACTATGGGAAAAGGCACTTGTAACCCCATTCCCAGAGCATCCCTGGGAAAGATCGTGGAGAGGTAAAAAGGTGCAGGGAAAACACAGCTGGGTTGTAGCAGAACTCATTCATTTCAACGCATGGGGCTGAGAAAAATGAAGTCAGCAGGGAAGGGGCTGACACTTTGTGCCTGCAGGGGGGACAGCGGAGCAGAACCACAAGCTGGATGCCTCCATCCACTACAACATCCCTGAGCTTCAGGCCTCCAGCCGCCCGCCTGCCCCACACAACGGCACGGCTGAGGGGCACCGGGCGCTCGCCCCACCGCTGCCACGGGACCGCCGTGACTCAGCCTCTGAGGATGAGGAGGAGGAAGATGAGGAGGAGGAGGATGAGGAGGAGTGCCCCAGGCCCAAGTGGCAAGGGATCGAGGCAATTTTTGAAGCTTACCAGGAACACATAGAAGGTAGAGACCGGGGACTGGGGCTCAGCGGGGTGTTGCCTGGCTTGGTTAGCCGTGGGGTCACGTCATCAAGCATCACCTTACGCCCTGCTGCCACCAGGCTTGCCACCCAGACCTTTTCCATTCAGCTGGCAAAGTGTTGTACTGGGAGGAGGCTGCGTCTTGGGGCTGGCAGGGAGTGAGGGCTTTGAAGTGCTCAGCCCATCCCTGTACCTTGCAGAACAAAACCTGGAGCGCCAAGTGCTGCAGACACAGTGCCGGCGGCTGGAGGCCCAGCACTACAGCCTGAGCCTGACGGCAGAGCAGCTTTCGCACAGCATGGCGGTGAGTGGGGCTTCTGGGGGGGCACCTGGCCTCTGCAGGGCATCCAGGCCTCCTGGGGGGGTCTCCATTATCCTGCAGCGTCCCAAATCCTCCTGCAATATCTCCATCTTCTACAGTGCCCAATCCTCCTGCAATGTCCCCATCTTCCTGCAGTTTCCCCACTGTCCTCTAAGTTCCCCATCCTCCTGCAGTGCCCCTGTTCCCTTCAATCCCCCTATCCTCCTGCAGTGCCCCAATTCCCTTCAATACCCCCATCCTCCTCCAACGTCCCCATTGTCCTCCAGTGTCCATGTATTCCTGCTGTGTTCCCATTGTCCTCCAACATCCCCATCCTCCTGCAGTATTCCCAAATCTTCCTGCAGTTCCCCCATCCCCTGCAACGTCCCCATCTTCTGCAGTGTCCTCTCTGTCCTCCAGTGTCCCCATCCTCCTACAATATCCCCATCCAATACAGTACCCAATCTTCCTTCAATCAATCTTCCAGTTGTACTCTAAGGTTTTCCTGCAATTCCCCATCCTCCTGCAATACCCCCATTCCCCTTCAGTCCCCTCATCCTCCTCCAACACCCCAATTCTCTTCAATACCCCCATCCTCTTGCAGGGTCCCTATTGTCCTCCAACATCACCTATTCTCCTGCAGTGTCCCCCTTGTCCGCCACTGTCCCTATCTTCCTGCAATCACCCCATTTTCCTCTAAGGTCCCCATTTTGCTGCAGTACCTCCATTCCCTTCAGTCCTCCCCCATCCTTCTCCAATGTCCTGATGCTCGTGCAGTGTCCCCATTGTCCTCCAATGTCCCGAAGCTCCTGCAGTCTCCCCATTGTCCTCTAAGATCCCCATCCTCCTGCAGTATCCCCAAATGCTCCTGCAGTACCCAATCCTCCTGCAGTCTCCCCGTGGTCCCCTAAGGTCCCCATCCTCCTGCAATGTCCCCATTCTGTTCAATATCCCCAAATCTTCAAGCAATGCCCCCATCCCCTGCAATGTCCCCATTGTCCTCCAGTGTCCCCATGCTCCTGCAAGTCCCCATTTCCCTGCATTGTCCATCCCCTGTGTGCTGCCCTGACGTTGCCCTTTTGCTGCCTCCCTGCAGGAATTAAGGACCCAGAAGCAGAAGATTGTCTCAGAGCGAGAGCGACTGCAAGCAGAGCTGGATCACCTGCGGAAGTGCCTTGCCTTGCCTGCAATGCAGTGGTCTAGGGGTTATTTCAAGGGGTATCCCAGGTGACCCTTCTTGGGCTAGGCCGAACATATAGTCTAGAAATAATAATCTATTTTATTACCTTGAATATTTAATATTTTTCACTGGGAGGTTTGAAGCTAAAAAAAAAAAAAAAAAAAAAAAAAAAAAAAAGAATAAAATAATAATAATAATGATGATGATAATAATAATAATAAAAAAAAAAAGCAAACAAACAAAACAAAAGCAAACGGAGAATGTGCCATGCATGAAGCAAAGGGTGGCGGGGGGGCTGGGAGGCTGGGCTCTGACCTTGTGTCCCCCCCCTCACCCCCCCCCTCCCCTTCCACACACACACTTTATATCGCTCATTTCTTATTTTATTTTATAAATTCTGATGAAAGACTCCACCGCCCACAACACTAAGGCTGGAGGAGCCCTGCAGGGTAAGGGGCAGCCCCCCCAGCTCCCCCCCCCCCACACACACCCCCAGCTTGGGGGCTCCCCCAGCACTGCACTTGGCTATAACCAATAAAGTCCATGAATCGTCGGAGCAGAGCTTCATTCCTGGGGAGGGGGGGGGAAAAAGTGGGAGGGGGGGGAAAGGGGGAGGATCCCACATTTTAGAGGGGTGTGGGGTGATGGTTTGGCAATGGAAGAGTCTGAAAAAAGAAAAAAAAAAAAAAAAAAAAGAGGAAAAGAAAAAAAAAAGGTGCTTCAGCCTTGTCATGTGTATATATATTAAAAAGGAAAAAAGTTTTGTATGTTTTTTATTGCTTTAATTATTATTGTTATAAAAAAAAAAAAGCTTGGTTTTTTTTTTTAACTATGGTTCTGCTTTTTTTTTTTTTTTTTGCTTCCCCTGCATCTCTTTTTGTTTGGTTTTTATTTCTCCTTTTTGTGTTTGTACCGGAGATCCCTGGGCTGGGTCCAACCCCCATCCCCTCTCTCTGCTGCCTCTTTTCCCTTTTGCTTTCTGACTCTGTACCCCCCAACCCCAAGCACTGGGACAGCTGTGGGCATTGCATGGTGATGAGTGTTGGAGAGGAGACTCCATGTTTATGGGGCCAGGGATGGGGTGGCATGGGGAGCAGCCCCAAAGCCTCCAAGACAATCAGAGCACGTTGGGGCAGCCCAGCTGCTGCCCTGCCCTCAGAGCTTGGCACATGGCTGTGCTCCCAGGGGAAGCTGTTCCTTGTTTGCCACCAGATCAGCTCACAGCGTTTGGAAAAGGTGACCTCTGCTTTCAGTTCCCTGTGTTCTTGTGGTGAATGTTAACACACGATCTGCTCTCCCTCCCTGCGTGCTGGGCAGGAAGGAAGATAGGGATGGAAAATGGTTGGCCGTTCAGCCCTCATCGCTGCAGCTGCTGCAGCTCCATAGCCAGGGCTGGGTTGCAGCTTTGCTTCCATGCTGAGATCCACCCCCCCTTCCCATGACAGCCCATAATATCAAGGTTCTGACACAGCATGCTCCCCGGGGGCCATGTTTTGTCCATTTGCACATCCCCTTGGGCAGGAGTTGGGGCAGTAGAGGGCAGAGCTGCTGGGGCAGGGAGATGCTGTCTGAGCAAACAACCAAGAGATAAAAATTAAAAAACCCTAAACTTGTTCTAAGCATCTTTGTTTGAATTAATTGTAATGTAAGAGATCATTTGGTGAATGTAGCAATTAGGTATTTATGACTCTATGGCTGTAATTTCTGAAAACATCAGAACAACAACAAAAAATTCATCATAATAAAATCTTCCTAACGATGGCAAAAGGATTCTTTCTCCCCCAGCAGCAATGGGAAGAGCACTGCTCCCAGCTTTGCCACCCCCTTTTGGGGTCCTGCCCCACTTCCCTTGGGGTCCTGCTCAGCCAGCTGGCCGTGGCCCAGGTGCTGGGACGTTAAATAGTACCAACCAGGCTGGCTCAGAGAGGGAAAAGCCATTTTCTTTTGTCCTTCTCCAAGGAGCAGATGGATGTGCCTCCCAGCACTCTCACTGCCGGCACATCTTTCCCTGTTTTGAGGCTCCGAGCGAATCCACAGCGAAACACCGCCTTGAAATTCATTGCTTTCAAGCCAGTGTGTGGCCTGTGCTGCCCTCAGAAGTTCCCTCTATGAAGTACACCCACGCTCTGCAGGGCAGAGAGATCTGCCCGACATCATTAGCTGGATGCTGGCAAGCCACCACCTGTATCTGTGCACATCTTTGGCAGCAGCCTCTGAACCAAAGGAAGAGGCGAAGTTCTGCAAAGGGGAAGCGAGGGCTCCGTGGAGCTCTCGTGCAGGGAATGCCCTGTGCCAGCTCTGCCCTGCTCCCTCCCCAGGCTGTGTGTGAGCAGCAGAGGAAGCTCACCCGCCTGCAGATGCTGCCAAGGATGGGTTGCACGTGGCTGACGGCTCACAGGGTTCTGGCAGATGTGCACGGAGAGGTGGAAGCTGGCACAGTGGATGTGTGTGCTTGGAGGGCTGGTGTGGGCAGAAGAGCTCAGAAATCCTGGGACTCTGTGCTCCCAGAAGGCTGCAGGTTGGTCCGGAGCTTGTACATGTGGTCTAAGGCTTGAGTAAGGAAAGTCCCAATGGTGTTGATCTCCATCAGGGTCAGGTTATCCAGCTGAAAGAGAAAGTAGCAGAACGTGGAGCAGAGCTGTGCTGCAGGGAGGGCGAGTCTGGCAGAATGGTGACACCCCGAGGGACCAGCTAAGAGAAGCCTACGACCAACCCGAGCACTATTTTCCCACTGCTACTCCTCAGGGAGCCACCAGCAACCCATCAAGAGAGGTTTCAACACGTGGCTTCAGCACCTGACCGACATACCCATAGCCCTGGAACAACATGCCCAACCAGCGCTCCCACAAGCAGCTCTCATCAGTCACCAACCCACAAACAGCAGCTGGACTCCTCCCAGCAGAGCTGGCAGAGCCCTGCCTGCATCCCATCACACCTCACCTTGGCGTGGGCCTCCTGCTGCCGGACGAAGCTGTCTGCAGACAGCCTCAGTTTGGCCATCCGTGTGTCCCACGTGTCCTTCACCAGCGTCCGGATCTCGTCTGCTTTGGGGATGTTGTCGGAGGCGCTGGAAGAGAGAGAGGATCAGAACAGACTCGCATGTTATGTCACTGGCATAAGTAATGTTGGCAGCTCTTCAGCCCTCTAAGGCAGAAGCGGAGCAGTTTGCTGTATTAAAAAAAAAAAAAAAACAACAACCCTGCGACTCAACATTAAAATCCAGCCTGGTGCTTACGCTGCTGGGATTTTTGGGGTGGTTTATTTACCCAGGAATTCTCGGCTCTGTTGCAGCATCTGCTTCTCACTGCAATCCTTCTGCTCTGTAATTGCCCAGCTGGTATGAGGTACGAGCAAAGCCAATAACCTGGCCAAAGCCACACACAGGAGGGGAACTGGAAGGACTCGGCCGCCACCGAAGCACGGTCTGTGCTCTCGTGGCTCTATCAGGGAGTATTAAGTTGAAGGGACTTCATGAGTCGTGCCGCATCCTCCCATTAAAGGCAATTCAGTGCTGCCATAAGGACCTCGAGAGATGAGATCAATTCACATGGACAGAGCTGTCAGGGTTATTCTAGCGTGAGCAAAGAAGCCGCACGCCAAGAGCGTCATCTCCAGAGGAGAAGCCAGTGCTTAAACGACCACCCCACTGTAATCAAGGGCTTAAAGTCAGGAGAGCCTGCGCTTAGAAAAATACCAGCCAGCACATTTTACAAGTGAAATGCCACAGCAGGCATGAGGTTAGACTCGGAATAACCCCGGTCTCTTGCTTCTCAAGCCGAGGAAAGAGGAGCTTTCCTCCTGAAGGAGAGCCAAGGAAGAAGCCTGGAGGGTTCAGGCTGCCGAACAGATTGCAGCCATGGAATGTGCTGTCTATACTGGAGGCCTCTACGCTTAGCTGCTGCTCAATAAAGCGGCGCAGCCCCAATTATCAGGGCACAGAACAAGCAATCCCCAGTTACTGAAATGCAAAGTTACCATGAGAAAACGGCTGCAGCGAGATCTTGGCACGCTGTGAAATAAACCCCCATTAACTCTCACTTTCCCACAGCCCTCTGGGGCTGCTGCCAAAGAAAGCTTGAAAAATTGTCTATGCAAGCATGTAGTCAGGTGGAAACTGTTACAATACATTTCCCACTTACTAGTTTAAGAGCAGCTTTGTGAGTTCCATATAATAGGGACTGGGCATTGGAGTGAAGGTGTCCTCTTTGCGTTCTTGGTCCCGAATTTCCTCCAGCTTTTCTAAAAACACAGACAGGAATGTCAGGCAGTGGCAGAGCTCCAACTCTCCTGACCCACTTCTCCCTCAGCAAAAACAGCATGTTGTTCCTGTAGGACCAAATCTCTGATTCAAGCTGGTGTAAACGTGGACAATGTACAGACAGGAAAAAGCTTCTATAATGAAGCCAAGCACCCCACACCTAATGCCTGTCCCAGGATCTAGGAGCAGCTTTGTCACGGCAGCTCTCAGCTCCCAAGGGAGAACAGATTCTTACCAGGGCCAAAATGCTGACAGGCACTTGGCACACCACACTGGATCCACGCCAGCTTGACCAAACCTTTCACCTGCCAGGAGATGTCCCCTTCAGCCACAAAGCACTGGCACTAATGAGTGTTTGTGCCCTTGCACGAATAGAGCAGGACTGCTCCATTAAGGTCTCTTATTATTCCACCAACCCCACTCCTGCTCACCAGAGGAGCAGAAGTCAAACACCTGACTTGATTGGGAAGATAACATCGCATGTAAATATGAAGAACCCCAGTGGAGAAACACTAGATTCTTCTCTCACAGTTGCTTTGCATCAGTTCAATTAAGCTTCCCACTAGTGGTGAAAACCAGAGATTTTTCTGTGTTCCCTTTGTACCCTTGGAAGCTGCTGTCCTTACCCACATCCATCCACTCTGGGGGTATCAGCCGGCACTTCTGCCTCTGCTTCAGATTGATGGCCAACCAGACAGGCACTTCCACTGGCAAACCGGGGTTGAAAGGGCCCAGATCCCCCTGGAAAATTAATTGAAGATGGGAATAAGGCAGCTGCAAAGGGCTCGGATGCCGCAGTACTCCTCTGCTCATTTGGTCTCTGTCATGTCTGGATGGTATGAATTTCCAAGGGATTTTGAAAAGCCTAAATTGAATAGCATCTGAATTTCCTTCTCTGGCTTCCCATAATTCTTGCTCGCAGACTTTTTGCTCCTCTCCCTTGAGAAGCAATAAGAAATGCTCCCAGTGCATTTTCTATTTCAAAGCGTTTCACAGAAGTTACTGCCAGAAATTACATTTATCATAGAAGCGTGGCCCCCTGGGCTCGGGCTGAGGCACATCCAAAGGTGCCAGCTCTCTGTGTGCAGCCCCAACCCCCCCCAGCCCCTGACCCAAACCCCACACCTCTGTCCTCCAATCCCAAATTCCCCATCCTTTATCCCCAAGCCCTCCGGCCGTTGTCCCCAACCCCTTCAGCCCCCAAACCAAACCCTCCAAGCTTTGTTCCCCCAAATTCCCAAACGCCCCACCCCAACCCCAGATTTCCCCTCCCTTATCCCACAATCCCCCCCAGCTCCTGACCCCCAAGTCCCCCCATGCTTCAGCCTGATACCCCAACTGACAGAACCAACCCCCCTTTCCCCTCCAAATCTCCCATCCTCTCATTCCCTTAGTCCCCAAACTCCATTCCCCCAAAAGCCCAACCCTCACCCCAAATCCCTGACCCACCAAAGCCCTGTCCCCAAACACCCCAAAACCGACCCCAAACTCCTCATCCCTCACCCCCAGCCTCTCCAAGCCCACACCTCCAAACCCAGCCAACCAAATCCCGCAGCCCCATTCCCACCCCCTTCACTCCCCACCCCCAGCTGTGACCCCCAGTCCCTCCAGGCCCTGCCCCCCAATCTCCCCAGATTCCCCACTCTTTGT